TCTAAATTGCTGAGGCTGGCTTTGAACTTGCAATCCTCCTGCCTCAGCCTCCTGAGCCCAGATTACAGGCTTATGTCACTGAGCCACACTGCAGGTTATAATTTATCCTAAGGAAGTGATAGACAGAAACAAGAAGTGAGGTAGACAGACAGACACTGGTTACAGCTAAGTGTCTGTCTTATTTGAACATTTGAATAGTTGGCTACTTGTGATTGGCTAAGACTCAACTACTTGTCACAGTGGTAGGTACACTCTGCACATCAAATTAAATTGTAGCTTACTATGTTAGGATGCCACTTTTGGCCAAGCAATTCAAATTAACAGTTCATAAAAAATAAATAATCCAATGGTAGCTTCAAGTGGGGCTAGACTCCAGCTCAGTGTCTTTTCCAATTGGCTCTTTATGTATGTGTGTGTGTGTCAGGGGACAGGTACTGGGGATTGAACCCAGGGATGCTTTCCCACTGAGCTACAACGACAGAGCTGCTTTTTTTTTTTTTTTTTTTTTTAATTTTGAGACAGAGTCCCAATAAGTTGCGGAGGCTTCCCTCAAACTTGTGATCTTGCTGCCTTAGCCTCCCAGAGTCTCTGGGATTACTGGCATGTGCCAGCACGCCCTACTCCAGTGGCTCTCTTTACTCCTGAATTGCCTTCATAGGTAGATACACCTCCATAGGTCCTGGCTTGTCATAAGGCCATCACTGAACAAGTTGCTAAGCAGCCTGACTTACTCTGATTAATCAGGCTTGTCATCTCCTTGCTGTGTGAAAGGACGTCAAGCTGGCCTGCCCAAATCCCATGGAGTACGTGGGAGAGGGTACCACCCCAAGCTAGGGTTCGTTACTAGAAATGAGCACTGTGCCAGGCAGGCAGACCAACAGAGCTGCCTTATAAGAAATGCTAAAGAAGTTTTTCAGGTTGGAGGCAAGTAAGACAGGAATGCAAATCCATGCCAGACAGCAGAGCACTGGCAGAGGAAGTGATGTAACTATAAGAGTACACACGCGTTTTTCTTCCCCTTTCTTCTGGTTTAAAAAGCAGTTGTATAAGCTGAATTCTCTGGACTTAATTTAAAAAATAAATAAATGAATTAAAAATCTTAATCTTGAACCTCTAAAACCATGAACCAAAATGAACCTCCCTTTGCTTCCTAAGTAGCCCCTGTCAGGTATTTCATTATAGTGACACAAAACTGACTGATACAGGAGCGTTGGCAGAGGGGGTCTGATTGGAGCTGTTGATCAGGAGCACTTGCTATAGTTTGGAAGTGGTTTCTCCTCTAAAGTTTCATTGGTCCCCAGTGTGGTGTAATTTGAGGCTAGTGGTGAGGGTGGCACATCATGGCAGCCTTATACAGAATCAACTGCTCACATCACAAGCTAGGAAGCAGACACCTCAGACCTGAGGTTCCACCATCCCCTTTGAGGGCACACCCCCAGTGATCTGAGGACCTCCCACTAGGCCCCACCTCTTAAGGTCCCTACCATCTCCCTACCAGGCTACCTGGGGACCAGTTCTTTTAACATATGGACCTCTGGAGGACACCCATCCAAACCAGAGAAACTTACATCGCGATTAACATGATTTTTTTGGGTGGTGGTGGGGCACAGTCAAACTCAGCTATTGTTTTATGCAGTTCACAAAATCTGACTATTCCAATCTGTGTTACGTTTAGCAACAAAATGTTTAAAACAAAAGTATGGCTAATTGTCCCATTATCTGTTGCTATGGATACTGCTGCATGAACTCAGTGGCATGAAACACTACTCCAGAGGCTACAGGTTGACTGGGCTTCCAGCTCTGGGCTGGGCTGATGTGGGAGGGCCCCAGGAATTTGAGCCTGGGCGGGGGGGGGGGGGCTCTCATCCTCTGGCAGGCTGGCTCTGGTTTGTTCTCCTGGCCAAGACAGGGGTCTAAGAGAGAAAGTGGACTCTGCTGAACATCTTCACTTCACCTGTGTCCCGTCAATCAAAGCCAGTCACAAGGCCAGGGGTGGGGAAATGGATTCCACTTCTTGAGGGGAGAAGGACATGGATGGAGAAGGGGGTATTTTTGCCCTCAGTCTCCAACACTGAACACCTTCCCCTTGGGAGGGAAAGCCATCTAGATTGTTGGTACAGATGCCCTTTACTGAAAACAAACAAAACAAACAACAAAACAAAAAAACCCTAAACTCCAAAAACCAAGCTAGCAGTCGGGGATCCCTCTAAGACAGGTAAGAACCCAGTCCTTGGCAAACCGTAGGAGCTGGCCTGGCAATGCTAGTGTCACCGCCAATGTTCTGGTGGGAATAAAAGGAAAGTGCTAATACTTTGACTTGTCCCTGTTTCTCATGTCCTGAAATTTCCTTCCAAAAGAGATGGAACAGATCTAAGTCAAAACTAGCCGAAAGGGCTAGTCGTGCCAGACTGAACCCAATAATTGTTCAGAACCCGGTGCATCAGGACTTAAAGGCGTCTGCATCCAGGGCAGCTCCTGACATACATATATATATATATATATATATATATATATATATATATATATATATATATATATATATATATATATATACACACACATATATGACTAGTAGAAAGGGGGTGATCTGGGCTGGGGATGTAGCTCAAGCGGTAGCGCGCTTGCCTGGCATGCGTGCGGCCCGGGTTCGGTCCTCAGCACCACATACAAAGAAAGATGTTGTGTCCGCCAAAAACTAAAAAATAAATATTAAAAAATTATCTCTCTCTCTCTCTTTAAAAAAAAAAAGAAAGGGGGTGATCTTCCCTAATTTGGGGAATGTCCTAAGACAATTAATGACACTCCTAATGGTGTTTGTATGCTTGAAAAAGCCTACATGTGTACAGATATGAGTGCATGGGCTCAGATCTTGGTTCTGCCACTTGCTAGGATGAGCCACTTCTTTGTGCCTTTATTTCTTTATCTGTAAAGTGGGAAAATAGAATCTGCTTCATAAAATTGGGTGGATTAATGAACAAGTGCAAGGTTTTATAACAGAGCCTGGACTTTAACAAATGCTCAATTAATGTTAACTCTCTCTTATGCTATGAGGAAAAATAGCTTCACGGAGGGGAAACTGAAGGCCAATGAAGGGTAGAGACTCACCTGGCGTCAAACAAAATTAAGTGTCTTTCCTGGTTTTTTGAGACCCAAATTTTAGCATCTGGAGGTTGGGCAGGTCATGCCTCTCCTCTCCTCAGAACCCTTCCATGAATCTGAAGCAAGTCCCAACCTAACCATATTGTACTAGTGTCAATATCTTGGTTCCAACCATGTATCGTGGGTCCACAAAGTATTACTATTGTAGAAAATGGGAATTACACAGGAATTTTGTGTCCTACTAATCCAATTTCTTGTGTTAAACTATTTCTAAATAAAAATGTTATATATATTTGAATTGCAGAATTACATATTATAAAAGATTGTGCACTTGCAGACATGTGCAAACTTTGTGAAGATCGTGTGGGGGTGTGGCTGCCAAGTTCAGGGCCCCAAATCACCCTCAGGATTGATAATCCGATGGAAGGATTGACCCTCTGGGTCAGTCGTGGTGCATCACAGAGGAAGTATAGGGATTAAAGTCATCCAAAGAAAAGGGGCAGAGTCCAGGGGAGTCCCTACTATGAGCATCTGGGTGTCCTGGCTGAGGAGTCACAGTTGGCATGACTTCCCCAGGAGACAGTGAGATGAGCATGTGCGTTGCTAGCCAGCGGGGTGCGCCTGGAGCTTTAGGGTCTACAGTTTTTATAGGGGCTTAGTCAAGTAGGTGTGGTCGACAGTCCAAGTGGCTGACCTTAGGAGTTGCCAACACTTCCCAAGGTTGAGGTGACAGTGTGGCCCAAGACCCCACCATTAGTCACACTGTTAGCACAGACTGGTTTGGTCCAAGGCTCCAGCTTAACTACACAATGTTCTTAGGAAGGACATTCCAAGGGCTTAGAGATCATTCCCAGGAGCCAAGGGCAAGGCCAGACCTCTCTTTGGAGCCTCCCAGGCCTCCATGTCCTCAGTGGCCACTGCTCTCTGCTCCCCGTGGTGCCCAGGCTTCAGCCCTGTGAGCCACTGTCCGCTCCTAGAACAAGCCAGGATTCCCCTCTGCCTCCAGCTTTACCTCCTTAACTCCTATTCCTTGTGTCTTTCATTAGTTCCACATTTATTGAGCACCTCCTGCATACTGGGCCTTGATCTAGGAGTTGGGGACTGAACAAGATAGACAAATCCTCACCCTGAACAGTGCTCAGGGAGAGTCCTTCTCAGAGTGGGGAGGCCACAGGACCCTGGAGCCACCAGCTTGGGTTTTTTTTTTTTTTTTAAAGAGAGAGTGAGAGAGAGAATTTTTTAATATTTATTTTTTAGTATTTGGCGGACACAACATCTTTGTTTGTATGTGGTGCTGAGGATCGAACCCGGGCCGCACTCATGCCAGGCGAGCGCGCTACCGCTTGAGCCACATCCCAGCCCCGACCAGCTTGGGTTTAAATCCTGCCTCTGCTACTCATCAGCCTGGGCGATGCATAGATTTAGTCCTATGTAATGATAATTCTGCGTGGTGGTTTTCACCAGTTTTCTTCAGCGCTCCCAGTTGTTGCTTTTTCCTCGGAAGCCCTCTCTGATGGCTGCAGACTGGTTGCACCTGGGCTGCCACTCTGATGGACAGGGACCAGGGCTTTCCTGATCCCTCCTCTGTCCCTAGAATCACCCAGCACAGAACAGGCACTCTCAGTAAACCTATGCCGAACACAGGAATGTCAACAGCAGCTGCGGAATGTACTGGTTTCTTACCCTGACGGTGGCCACCCAAGGGGTGGGAGAGCTGGAGGTCGCCCCATACCCCAGGCCTAGGTCTGTAGAACCTCCGCCCGAGTGGAACACGGTGTAACAGTGCCTCCTTGTGGGCACCTCTCATTTTAGAACCCTGGTGCGGAGATGCTCTCTTCGCCCAAGGAAGCGGGGTGGGGCGGGACTCAGGACTCGGGTTACCCGGGTCCCACACCGTCCCCATGAACAACCGGGCGGGGCCCCCAGCCCCCTCCCCAACCCGGCCCTCCACCCTGGTCGGGGCTTCGACCCTCGCCCCAACCCCAACCCGAACCCCGAACCCAGTCAGGATGTCGACTCCTGTCCAGATCCCGACTCCGGTTGGAACCCAGGCCCCGATCCGGGCCGCGATCCCAGTCCGAACCTCCATCCAGTCCCGGGCACCGAACCCAGTTCGGACCCAGGCTCCGGTCCGGTTCTCAGCTCCGACCTCAGCTTCAGCTCCAGCCCCAGCCAGGATCCCGACCCGGGCTCCGGTCCCGAACTCAGCCAAGGTCCCGACCCGGACTCCGGTCCCGAACCCAGCCCCAACCCCAACTCCACCCCCAGCACCAGCCTGGGTCTGGACCCCGACTCCGGTCCGGTTCCCAGCCCCAGCCCCAACCCCAGCTCCAGCCACAGCACCGTCCTGGGTCCGGGCCCCGATCCCCGCCGCGGTTCCGGCTAAGGAATCGCCCGCGACCCCAGCCCTACATTTGGATCCGCCCGCAGAACCTGCTCTAGAGTCTCCTGCCGAGACTCCTGCGCCCACGCCGGGCCCAAAGCACTTCCCATCCTTCAGCAGCCTCGCAGGGTCCGTCCGGGGACCCTTTCCCGCGCCCACTCCTTTGGCCTTTAACGTACAGAGATCCACTGCGAAGGAAGACCTAGCAGCCACCCAGTCAACGGATCCCCCCACTTCTGGACCCATCCCGGGGACCAGCCGGCTGTCCATCTCCATTTCTACTAACGCAGTCGCCTCCACCAATGAGAACTTCCAAATGGAGAACAAGATCTTGATTCGAGTGACCTACTGGTGAGGGACGCTCCTGCCCACACCTGCCTTCCTCCCCACGCAGGGCTGGGTCGGGGAGGCTCTGGGGCTGTGGGGTTGGAGCTCCCGGGCTGGGCGAGGAGGAGGAGTCAGGTGGAGCCTCAAAGTATACAGAGCCCCCCCCCTCACCCCGCGGTGGGCTTAGCCCCGCCCATCCTCCTGTTTGGGGCGGGTTCAAACTCCTGCTCGGGCTCTGAGCTTCATCCGTTCTCATTCATTCATTCATTCATTCATTCATTCGTGTGATTTCTGCCTCGTGGCTTCTTCTTGCCTCTCTTTCCTTTATCACTCTGCCTGCCGCGTGCCAGGTCCGTGCTGGGAATACGGTGCTGAGCATCGGGACTCGTTCTGCTCCTTTAGCGCGAGGTCTGGTGGTGCAGCCCAAAGCCAGGGTGCATGGAAATGAGCTCCCTGAGGGAGGACAAGGGGTTAGCGCACTTTAGGACTGCGCGTTCAGGAACACCCCTTTTCAAGAGGTGACTCTTGAGCTGACACTCCACACTTAGGAGGAGGCGACGGCAAGTGTAGCGTGGGGGAGGGGTAGTCAAAGTCGCCGGAGCAGCCGGTGCGAAGTCTGGAGGGGGCTGGAGGAGGCTGGAGGCTGTGCGGAGGCCTAAGCCTCTCTTTGAATCAACAGTTAGAACAAAAATAACAGTAATGACTTTCCTTGACCTCCTCTGGGGCCCAGGGCTGAATGCAGCTCAGACAGTCTTCCGTTCTGATCCCGGTGCGGCTTCTGCCCCAGGCCTCTTTGCACCCTGTCTTTCCCTGTCTCTCTACTCTTCCTGTCTCTGCCCCGTGTCTCTCCAGCTCTCCTTCTCTCTCCCAACTCGCTGTGGCTCTTTTTCCTGTGACGTGTGCCTTTCCTCTTCCCCAGCTCCACTGGTTCCTTCGTCTCCTGTGCTCTTCTCGCCCCATCTTCTCCTCTCTACAGGTTTCTCTGACTCCATGGGTTCATTAATTCACTCATCCAACAACCAATTTCTTAGGTACTTACCATGCCTCAGGCGTGGTTTGTACCGTCAGGGATACAGGAGCGAACAAGACCAGGGTCCCTGTCTTGGTGCTGCTGGCATGCGGGGGTGGAGAGGAGACAATAAACCATAAATAGGTCCCACAAGGGGACCAGTGCTATGGATAAAAGGCATCTTTGGTGTTTGGTGTTTGCAGTGTTGTTGTGGTGGTGGTGGTTACAAGGAATTGAACCCAGGGGCACTTCACCACTGAGCCACATCCCCAGTCCTTTTTTGTATTTTATTTAGGAACAGGGTCTCCCTGAGTTGCTTAGGGCCTGGCTAAGTTACTGAGGCTGGCTTTGAACTTGCAATCCTCCTGCCTCAGCCTCCCAAGCTGCTGGGATTACAGGTGTGCATCACCATGTCTGGTTTGGGGGTTGCTGTTTTAGTTGGCCTGGTCAGGAAGGCCTCACTGAGAAGCTGATATGAGTAAAGACCTGAAGGAGGGGAAGAGAAGGAGCCAGCTGGGCACTAGAGGAGCATTCTGCAGAGAGAACCACAGTGGGTGCCCCGGTGTCAGAAGACCAGCTAGGGGGCCTCTGGGCAGAACGGGGTGAATAATGTAGGACAGAGGGGGAGGAGATGGGGCAGAGGGATGACAGGACAGGTCATAATGCAACTTCTGGGCCAAGGGGCAGACTGTGGTCCCTTCCCCTGAGTGAGATGGTTCAGGGGAGGGTTCTGAGCAAGGGGAGGAGGTGATCTGACTCAGGCGTTCCTGGGGAACCTTGGGAAGTACTGATGTGTGTTTCCCCCTCCCCCACTCTCTCTCTGCCTCCCTCCCACTCACTGCCTTCGGCTTCTAGTGGCCTCTGAAGCTATAGCTTTCGGGTGAGTAGTTTGGCCTTGGAGGTGGGGAGAGAGTGGGACATGAAAACCGGGAGGAGTTGGTTTCCCTTCCTGTGACCCCATAACCCTGTGACCCTACGATCTCATCTCCTTTCCTCAGTATATACTACTGAAGAAGAGTCTGGAGCAGCAATTTCCAAATCTCCTGCACTTTGTAAGTGTGTTGATGGGCTGGGGAGTGGGGTCGTCAGCGCTTCCCACCCTCCAGGGCTTGGAGGGGAGCGCTCAGCCTTTCCCCATCCCAACATTCCTTCCCAGGACGAGGAGGTAGCCCAGGCTACAGGGGAGTTTGAAGTGTTTGTGGAAGGGAAACTGGTCCATTCCAAGAAGGTGATTCTGAACAAGAGGCCTGCACAGGGAAGGAGGGTGGGGCTGGGAGCCTGGGGGAGGGAGACATATCTGAGTCTTTCCCCTCTGTGCCCAGAATGGTGATGGCTTTGTGGATGATACCAGACTTCAGAAAATTGTGAACGCTATCGATGAGAAGATCAGGAAAAGGTAGCAGGCAATGGTGGAGCTGGAGGTGAGTGAGATCCTGCAGAGGAGTTGGAGGGCTGGGTTTGGGGTGTCAGGTGAGCAGGACAGGGCCCCATCTAGGGTTCTAGCTCAGCTGGTCCTCACTGCTGTAGTCACCACGAGTTACCTAAACTCTCCTCTGAGCCTCAGTTTTCTCATCTGTTGAGGTGATTTCAAGAGATGACTCCCATCAGGTAGCAAATAGTACTTGTTCCAAGTAGGGCTCAGTGGATGTCAAATATACTTCCCCCTAAACAAAGAGCCTGCTTTTTTTTTTTTTGTTGTTGTTGTTGTTAGCTTTTAGTTGTAAAGCTGTGCTATCCAATAACAGCATCACTTGTAAATTTAAATTAGTTAGAATTAACTACATTACAAATTCAGTTCCTGAGTTGTACTAGCTACATTTCAAGTGCTCAGCAGGCACATGTGTGGCTAGTTTATTGGGTTGGATTACAGGTACAGGACAAATAACTCATCCTGGCAGAAAGTTCTAATGGAAACACTGTTCTAAGATATTAGTATAATGCACCATAACTTATTGGCCACCAATATTTGACTTTTTTTTTTTTTTTTGGCACTGGGGATTGAAAGGAAAGTGACCACAACACTCAGAGCAACCAAAAGATCTTTATTGCAGCAGTGCAACAAAGAGAAAGGAAAGAAGGAAAGAGAGAGAGAGAAAAGAGAAGAGATGAACAGGGAGAGAGCAAGAGCAAGAGAGAGACAGAGCGCGCGTAAGAAAGATAAAGAGCAAGAGAGAGAGAGCAAGAGAGAGGGGGCCTGGCAGGAGGGAGTTTTTATAGCCCAAATCTAATGGGGCCTCTGGGTCTGCAAGCTGCCTTGTTGGCCCAAGGGGGGGTTAAGTGTTCAGCCTTAAGCAGGGTTGAATGTTCAGACTTGAGGCAAACAGGTGATAAAGGACCAGATAGAGGGAGGTTTGAGTGCGTGGGCTATCTGTTCAGCCTGCCCTGCAGACAACACAGTTCAGCCTGCTCTGCACCCAACAGGGATTGAACCCAGGAGCACTTTACCACTGAGATAAATCCCCAGCCCTTTTTATTTTTTTTGAAACAGGGTCTTGGTAAGTTACTGACAGCTTTGTTAAATTGCTGAGTCAGGCCTTGAACTTGTGAGTCTCCTGAGTTTCTGGGATTGTAAGCTTGCACCACCGTGCCCTGCTTCAATACTGGATTTTAATTTTATCTATTTATTTTTATGATACTGAGGATTCAGCCTAGGGCCTCACACAAGCTAGGCAAGCACTCTACCACTGAGCTACATCCCCAGCCCCCAATACTGGATTAAAAAAAAATGTTGTGTTTTTAAATTTAATTACTTTTTGTTGTTATTGCTGTGCTGGGGATGGAACGCAGGGCCCTGTGCACACTAGGCAAGTGCTGTGCCATGGGACTACATCTCCACCCCCACAAGACTGGAAAATAAATAAATATATATCATATATATATATATATATATGTGTGTGTGTGTGTGTGTGTGTGTGTGTTTTAGTTGCAGATGGACCTTTATTTTATTTATTTTTTATATGCAGTGCTGAGAATCAAACCAGGGCCTCACACATGCTAGGCAAGCACTCCACCACTGAGCTACAACTCCAACCCACAAAACTGGATTTTTAAAGGCACTTATTAGGGCTGGGGCTGGGGCTCTGTGGTAGAGTGCTTGCTGTGCTAGGCCCTGGGTTTGATTTTCAGCACCACATTAAAAAAAAAAAAAAAAGTCTATTGACAACTAAAAAATTAAAAATAAAAAATAAAGGCATTTATTATATACATACCTTTGCAAGCTGCTACTGATTTAGTAGTTTGTTGTGCATGCACACACGTATTGTTTATTTTCAACTTTACTGAGGTGTAAGCAATGAAGAAAACTAGTGTTTCAAGTGTACAAGCGTGAAGCCACCAACTAAATCAAAATAATAAACATATTTCAACTCCCACAAAAGTTTCCTCAGGAACTTCTGTCATTTTCCCTACCTCTACCCCCATCCCAGGCCCCTAATTTGGCTTTCTGTCCCCATGGATTGGTTTGAATTTCTCTAGAGTTTTCTATAAATGGAGGCTGTAATTTAAAAAAAAAAAAATATATATATATATATTGGGGGCTGGGGATACAGCTCAGTTGGTAGAGTGCTTGCATCACATGCACAAGCACAAGGCCCTGGGTTCAATCCCCAGCACGACAGAAAAAAAAAAAATTGGGTGGAAGTTTGACACCAAGAGAATCGTATAGTGAACTTACTGTACCCATCTCCCAGGTAACTGTTACTTTCTCTTGTCCATTTTATCTGTCTTCCCCTCCTTTTTTTTCCACTATAGTATTTTAAAGTATATTCCAGACCTCATGTTATTTCTGCTCTAAATTCTTCCACCTGCATCTTTAATAGATAACGTTTAAAGATGGAAATACAAGGTCATGATCACACCCAGAGAAAAGAAATGTCTTAATGCCATCTAATATCTACTCAAGTGTCTCAAAAAGATCTTTTCACAGTGGTTTATGGACTCAGGATATAGATAAGATCTACATGGTCTAATGGCTTTTAATATTATATTTAGTTGTAGGTGGACACACAATATCTTTATTTCATTTTTGTGTGGTGCTGAGGATTGAACTCAGTGCCTCGTGTGCTAGGCAAGTGCTCTACCACTGAGCCACAATTCCAACCCCTAATTGCTATTTTTTTAAGAGAGAGAGAGAGAGAGAATTTTTTATTTTATTTATTTTTTAATTTTTTAATATTTATTATTTTTTAGTTATTGGCGGACACAACATCTTTGTTTGTATGTGGTGCTGAGGATCGAACCTGGTCCGCACACATGCCAGGCGAGCGCACTACCGCTTGAGCCACATCCCTAGCCCCCGAGAGAGAGAATTTTTTAATATTTATTTTTTAGTTTTCAGTGGACACAACATCTTTTATTTTATTTGTATGTGGTGCTGAGGATTGAACATAGTTCCCCGCACATGCCAGACGAGTGCGCTACCACTTGAGCCACATCCCCAACCACCCTAATTGCTATTTTTTTTTTTTTTTTTTTTTAATTTTTTTTTTTAAATATTTATTTTTAGTTTTCGGCGGACACAACATCTTTGTATGTGGTGCTGAGGATCGAACCCGGGCCGCACGCATGCCAGGCGAGCGCGCTACCGCTTGAGCTACATCCCCAGCCCTAATTGCTATTTTTTTAAAAAAACATTTTTAGTTGTAGATGGACACCTCTATTTATTTATTTTTATGTGGTGCTGAGGATTGAACCCAGAGTCTCGCACTTGCCAGGCAAGCACTTTACCACTGAGCTACAGCCCCAGACCCATAATGGCTATTTTTAAACAATTATAAACAGGCTTTAAAAAGTTTACTATGTGCAGGGCTCTTGGTAGGTTCTTTTTTTGTGTGGGAGTGGGGAGGTACTGAGGATTGAACCCAGGGGCACTCAACCACTGAGCCACATCCCCAGCCCTTTTATGTAGTTTATTTACGGCAGGGTCTCACTGAGTTGCTTAGCACCTCTCTTTTGCTGAGGCTTTGAATTTGCAATCCTCCTGCCTCAGCCTCCTGAGCCTTTGGGGTTACAGGCATGTGTCACCTCGCTGGCTTGGTAGGTTCTTGTTCTTTTTTTTTTTTTTTTTTCTGCCATGTGGGGCCTGGGGAAGCAGGTGAGAGGTCTGTTTCTCACACCTACCAATATGATGCAGAATGTGGTGGTGATTATACATGCAGTTTCCAAGGTCACAGAGATTAGGCTCAAATCCTGGGTCCACCAGCCACACCAGGCTGAAATTGGGTGAAAGATTTACCAAAGACCTCCTTCCATAAGTGACAGCTTCTGTTGTTGTTAGATCAGAACTGTTCTGATTGCAAGAGAAAACCCATCTCAAGCTGGCTGTAGGGGAAGCAAAAACATTGGCAATAGGAATAAAGGGTTAGGATATATATATATATATTTTTTTTTAATATTTGTTTTTTTAGTTGTAGTCAGACACAATACCCTTGTTTTATTTATTTATTTTTATGTGGTGCTGAGGATTGAACCCAGGGCCCCGCGTGTGCTAGGCAAGCACTCTACCACTGAGCCACAATCCCAGCCCTAGGGTATAATTTTGTTGGCTTCAGGCACAGAGTGGGATCTAGGTACCCAAAGATTACCCCTGGGAACCTGAATCCTCCTGACTCTGGCTTCTGCATTTTTCTTTTAAACCAGGCTGGCTTTATTTTCAGGCAGGTTTCATTTCCTAGTGGCTTAAATCCTACAAAGCTTCCCATTGGGCTGGTTTAGGTCACATGTCCATCCCTGAGTCAATGGGAGGGGGCTCAGGGGTGCTCTCTTGAGTCAAGTACTCACTTTTGGAACTGGAGTGGAGCTGGTGCTGGGGTTTGAACCCAGGGCCTAGTGCATGCGAGGCAAGGACTCTACCAACTGAGCTATATCCCCTGCCCTCCCCTCTATTTCAACTTCCTTCTCTATAATTAAAACAGAAATTCCAATAGTCTTTCCCTTATTGAATTTATTTCTGCTCACCCAGTATTTGCTGTGTACCTAGGATGTGCTGGACACTGTCCTAGGCTCTGGAGATAAAGCAGTGAACAAAATGGACACCAATCCCCATGCTAGTGGGGAAGACAGCTACTGGAAAGGATGCAGAGAATAGTAGGCATTTTATTTTTAATTTTTCCCATTTTTTATGGTCATAGTTGTACTCAGTGGTGGGATCCATTGTTATATATTCACACCTGCACAGAATAAGGATATAATCTGGCCAGTATTATTCCCTAGTAAGTTCCAGTTTCCATACCCCTTCTCTTCTTCTTAGAAGACTCATTAAGAAGGTATCTGGACCATGTGGGCATCTCAGGAAATGTATTCTAGGCAGTGGGAACAGCAAGTACAAAGGCCCTGTGGTAGGAGTGTGCTTGATGAATTTGAAAAATAGCAGGACTAGAGTGGACACTGGAATACATGGAAA